CTGGAGCGTCTCGGACAGAGCAGAGAGCGAAACAGAGAGAGAGGGCCGAAGGGTTCTGGGGAGGCGATGCCCAGGACAGGTCCGAATTGGCACCCTGCTGCCCAGACCACACCTGGCATAGCGATCACGTGTGAGAAGAAACCCTTCATTCGTGAGCAGAAACGGGTTTCTCCTCCACTGCCATGCACGGTGTTCATGTGGCTCTCAGTAAAATTAGAAATAGACCCGAGTTTGACTCTGGCAGAGGAAGAGCAGTGAAGAAATGATTGATAGCGTAGGGCCCCCGGTACCCAACACTGCTGTTTCTGGTGGGGTCCCCCCCTCACCCCCCATGCGCCCACACCCTGCACTCACGTAGGTCAGCGTGGACAGGGCACCCAGGTAACACACGCAGACGAGCCCCAGGACAAACCACTCCCTGCGCTTGGACAGCACCTGTGGGAACTCGTCCAGCACAGCTGTGATCACGCCCTCCAGCCCTGCGAACTGAGAGGTTGTCACGCAGTTAATAAAAGCAGACCGATACCTGCCAGCAGGAATACTGATAACGAACAAGGACAGCAGCTGTCAAAACCAGCGGAGCATGCACTGTTAATAAAAGGCAAGTGGAGATAATTATGAACTGTCCAATGGGCACTGGGCACGTGCACGGTGGACACTGTGCAAAGGGCTGTCAGATCAGGTGGCTCGCAGCATCCACACGTTGAGCAAGAGGTCGGGGTGGAGGCTGAAGGAAGATGAGAAACCAGGAGCCCCTGGCCCAGCCCTGCTGGAGCAGGGAGAGGGGGAGGGGGAGAGGAAGAGGGACAGGAGATCTCACCGTGCTGTCCAGGCCCAGCGTGATGATCATGAGGAAGAAGATGATGGCAAAGAAAGTGGAGGCCGGCATGTTGGCGATGGCTTCGGCGTAGATGATGAAGAGCAGACTGGGGCCTGGTGAGGAAGAGGAGTGTCAACACTAGGCACGGAGTCAGAGAGGTTAAAGCTGCCCGCGCCCCGACAGGCCTGGACATGGGGTGATCCGCACCAGTTAAATCAAACATCAGCTCTTGATGGAATGAAAGCCAAGGGCTCTCTGGCTGCCCTGGCTCTGGGACCTCTGGAGAGGAAGACCACCTCACCTGCGTCCTTGGCCACCTCGGCCACCTCCAGCTGTCGCTTATCCGCCATGTAGCCCAGCACGGTGAAGATCACGAACCCCGACATGAAGCTGGTCAGACAGTTGACGGAGCTGGTCACCAAGGCGTCCCTGAGGGGGGGCCGCAGAGGCAGAGGAAGAGGCATGAAACTCATGGCAATTGCAACCCTGACTTTCGTGTCTTTAAGTCACCAGGGTAAACAAACAGATTTATGAATAAGCGAATAAAACAGGGGTGGAGCGGTGGCTCTGTGGCTGGGAGGTTGCCGGTTCAAATCCCGCGGCTGGCAGAGGAATCCTACTCTGTTTAGAGTGATTTCCTGCACTCTGACCCCCAGCTTCTCT